CTCAATGTCTTGAGTGCCTTCTTCTCTGTGGCATCATCTCGCGCTATATATATGAAAGCTAGAAACCAACTCTCCCATCATACTGCTTTGTAGGCTTCTGAAATTGACAAAATGACGGTTGTGATTGTCTGCACTACGGGACGTTCGGCTAGTCATATTGTTTCGTTTGCACACTGTGCTTCACCTACAAGGGTAAACAGGCATGACCAAATAAACAAGCTTTCACTTGCATAACCGAGCCTAGCCGAGCTAAGCGGCAACTATGTTGGTTGGTTGTTCCTCAGAGTCCTGGCGCAACCCACCACGAGGAATCGGCCATGAAACGGACGGTGCCTCATTTGTGAGGTGAAGTTGTTTTACCGCCCTGATTATTTAGATAACGATGTTTAAACAAAGAAGCAATTGGTAAACGATAGATTAGAAATAAAATAGAGGTAATACAAAGAACGAACACGTTTATATGGTTTGAAATAAAGTGAATTTATGCCTCAGCTTAACATTCTAATCGTTTTGTTGCCTTTAGAAAATCGCATACGGCTTCGCAAACATTCCTGTGGTTAAATCCCTTTTCAGTCGCTCCAAAGGAGAGGACCACCGGAAAGGATAAATTTAGAGCCAACCTACGAAGAGGTTCTTCTAACAGTCTCTTCCTTTGGTTTGTGTATAACCTGCATGTTAAGAGGAAATGATGGAGGGATTCCCTCGATGTGTTGTTTTTTTTAATCACTATGAACACATCTTTTCTTTTTCCTTGAAATGGCTGAGCAAGCACGTGCTCCTCCCCGTCATGCAAGTGGTAATCCTTCTTCGAACCTGAAACCGAAAGCTGCATGACACGCGCGGAATTATTGGTATTGAAATACACGTAGGATGTAATTACTTGGAACGCTCCTCAATGAATGAAGACTAAGAAGACTGCACCAAGAAATAAAACAAAATTTAGGTATAATATCTCTGTGGCAAAGCTCTCGTTGAAATGCGCAAACACGAATAAAGAGGTACACATAGGGGAAATGAAACAATGCAAATGAAGCTACTCCTAATGGAAACTCGCCTCTACCGCGTGCTTCCAGTGACCGCTCATGGAAGGAAATGCGTACAAGGTGCTGTAAATGAAGCATAAAAGCAAGGAGTACGCGCGACTGCCCCTTGCATGCTTTTATTCTGCAAAGATGTCAATACTCGAATAAACCCTTTTCAAGCAGTGCGGGCAGCTTGGGCTAGTTGGTATGACATGACGATAGTTATAGCGCGAGAACAGAACGACGACACAGATACAAGGACACGAGCACCCACTGTCTTTTTCACACAAACACGTATCTAAGATTTCAGTTTGTTTTTAGTAATTATCTTCCCTCTACCCTCTCGGACAACGCTTTTCTTGTCAATGCTTTTCACCATGTTTTCTCGTACGTTTTCGCCGTCCAGCGTTTGAGCACGCCCGTCCTGCTGCCATGAAGTTCAAACGCCGTGTCGGTCGATACAACGTGCATTTCAGATATTTTGCTTTTGACTTCGTCGATAACTCGTGGTGTCACGACGCATCTCGGCCATAAAACTGCGCACACCACCAATTTGACCGCGTTTTCGTTTTTCGGTGAAACCTGTCCGCTAACTCGCTGGTCACCGCGAGGCATTCGATTCCGGCTGGTCACGGCGATTCAGGCGTCGCAACTATTTCCGGCCGGATGGCCCATGCCAGGACGAGCGGAATTTTCAGCGAAAGCGCCCCAAACCTACAAACATGTGGACACTCCTGCGCTGACCAACGTTAACCGGAAGAAGCCGTCCCGTATCGGCTAGGGATGCTTTGCGATGCCAAGCTCGTCGGGCGGTGAGCGGGCTTCTGCGCAGGCGGACGCACTGAACCGACTTGGAAGACCGGCTCTCACCTATAAATAGAACTCGAGTGCAGACTCCTTGGGGTGCTCTGGCGTGCTGCTGCTTTCTCCGATTCCTTCACCGATGCATTGTGCACCTTCACCTGGATCGGGAGGAAACACTCTCTCCCCCAATTATTGAACTACGTACGCTGCCTTGGCAGTGAATAAGCTGGACAGGAGGATATCTTCGTGCACCAACTCTACTATGGCGCTTTCTCTTCGGCTTTGTGGGCATTGCACCCGGCACCGCCGCGTGCTGAGTTTTCCGTGTCTACGTAGCGTAATATGTCGTAACTAACGTGCTTTATGCCAAAGCGATGTTCCACGGCACAAAGTTTAAAGAGAGGTGGTGCAATCGCTAAGCTGAAGGTGAGGCTCTGCGTTAATGTGTGTAGCAGTCGTGAGTAACGTTTATATAAATAAAGTAACGACTATGCGCAAACTTCTCGGAATTTTTGCACACTCTCGGCTATGAACTCTTTTCTTTTTTCATTATGAAGATTGAGTTCCCATTTCTCACGATGGCACTACACCGCATTTTGTGTATTTGAACCATGCAGCAGTAATATTGGAGGTAATAAGTTATACCGGCTTTTCGGGTTAAGCGAAGCACTATATTCTCCCGAACATTTCTGGGTGATGATATGCTCGTTTTTTTGTTTGCTTACTTTTACCGTTGTTTTAATTTTTTCTCACTGCATTTTCCGGGGTATCCGGTAATGTTGAAACACATATCGTGCGCATCGTGTGGGCTCCGTAGGTCACGAATTGCTTACTCAAGGCATGCGCTTATAATCACGGTATGAAGGTATCTACACGCAGATGACAGTCAACGTACCACGCGTACAACGATGAGCCCAGTTGTGATAAACGCAAGAGTGCATGGCCGACGGCACTGTACGGCCATCGATAGATGCATGGGACATGTGCACCATGCGTCTGGCAAGGCTGTATTTTTAAGAACGCGCATAATGTTACTGGAGAGGCTCGCTATATATGCGATTTTGCTTGCTAAGGTGTTTCCTCCAGCATATTAAGTCCACTGTTTCCTTAAAAAATATGGTTCAGGAATACAGCTCCAAAGAAAACAAAACTACTCTACTAGATAAAAGAAGCCGAGGCTATAAAAGAATTAGGCCATTTGTGTGTAAGCTCGTCATCGATTTCCTTGTCAGAAAAGGAAATGACGTTCCTTGGTTAAATTTGAGAACACGTGCAAGATGAGTTGTGCTTTGTTGCGGATGTATAAAATGGGTGGGATTGGCATGAAATAAACAGTTCGAAGTTTAGCGCCTACCTATCTCTACGTCTGTGTCGTGTCCCTTTCTTTTATGTACTGCGCTAATACACGCTACGTTCTAAGGTTGCGAGCTTACGGTGTAATGGTCAAGTCGTTTACAAAATTGAACTTCAACTGAACGCATAGCGACAGCGCGTTGCCGGAGTGAATCACGAAAGCCGCGGTTATGACGAATTATTTCACTTTATCGCTTCCAGATGGTGACACCATTCCGTCAACCAACCGCGCTGAAAGAAGGCAGAGATATACAATACAGAGATATACAAGATATACAACCTTCGGGGGTGTGTGACCATGCCGCAGTGAATAGCGTGTCTGACATTCGTTGTCACGGACGGAGAGGTCGTGGGTTCGACTACCTATGATACAACTTTTGTTGCTTGCTGTCTGACCGTGTGCATTTTTTATCGTCACTTCCGTGTCAGAAATACGTCACTGAAGTCTTGATGTATCTCGGCATATCTTGCGTTTTATGCCAGGAGACAGCAAAAAAAAAATGAAAACGAGAAAAAGGAAGGTACGAAAAAAAAAAAAGAGCGAGAAACAGAAGAAATGGAGGCTTTCCAGATCCGCACTTGCTGCAGGCTTGGTTGCTTAAAATTTTATTTGTCTTCTTTCTGCTGCAAGTGAAAGCCTCCCTCACACTTTCTTGTTTAAAATAGTTTCTCCTGCGCGACCAACTACTCCTTTGCCATGATCATCAGAAAGTAGGTATTCCTAACGCTAAAAATTTACTGCACTTTCGCCTCATACGTCAAAGTAGCGCAACGGACTTCCCAGAGACCTTAATGCTAACCGCACGCTGCTTGATGCATTAGCTAACGTTGAATGATTAGCCTTTTTTTGAAGAAATAGTTAGCATTTTATAATTAGGTTCTAAGATTTATTATCTAGCCTGTATTCGCATGTAAATGTATTAAGTAACATTATTTTATATCAGCTTTATTTGTATGAATTAACTGTATGCACTGCTTTTTGTTCAGTTCACAGATTCGAGCCTATAGCAACACCCATGAAGTGAAGGTAATGCCATTTACAGAGAAGACTAGTTAACTCTCTGATGCCATGGGAAGTGTGCTTCAGTGTTTCACCCCCTACTACACACTGCTCCAACTCTCTAATATATATATATATATATATATATATATATATATATATATATATATATATATATAGGCAGGCATGGTGATTGAGTGGCCGTAGCGTTGCAAGTAGTTGTCAAGTAGATCCTCCGTGAGCGGTCACAACGTGGTTTATTTCGACGCTTCGGCCTAGAGTCTGGCCTTCATCAGGATTGCTAATACAGTTTGTTGGGGCTCAGCTTTATACAATCTTGAATCATATGGTGAGAGAGAGAAAGAGCAAAAAACGAAAAAAAGAAGAAACAAAGAAAGAAAAAAGAAGGGGAAAAAAAGGGAAAATATCAGGTGGACTCCCCCGGGCACCCCCTTTCACTCTTCCCCCTCCATCTCTCTCCATTTCACCTTTAGTATGTCTGCGGTCTGTGTATCCATATATATATATATATATATATACACGTCTTACCGCCTTAAGCTTTTCGCCATGAACATTTAATTTGAAGAGCGCACGCAGTATAGACAAATGGGACATTTCGAAGTACAGGCTAATAATAAGATGTGCTCTTATTAGTAGCCTATACGGAAAACTATTTACGCAAACTCGTGAAGCTGTGGCAACGTTCTGGTCCTTGTGTAAGCAGTGCTGGAACCCCGAAACCCTTGTGATGAGGTAGAAGGTTATGTAGTATTGCTATGTGCAGTCATTTGATCCTGAGAGGAAAGCAAAAGCATGAATACCTTAGTGGCAGTGGCGGCTGCAGAGCCCCTGCGCCTGGCCTTGCCCTCAGCCTGGATTGTGCGTGTGCACAGGTCGATGCACTCGGCAAACGAGGGAGCCCGTTGGTCATAGCTGTAGTCTTTCTCGTTGAGCCTAGCCAGGGCCACGATATAGGCAGCCGCGATACGCAGGATGGCCAGTTTGGAAAGCTTCTGGTTGTCCGCGTACGCCGGCACCGCGCGCCGTAACGCTTCAAACGCCGCGCTGATTGTGTGCACACGCGAGCGCTCGCGGGCGTTCGCCTCGATGCGCCGTTGCCTGGTCATTCCCTTGTAGTTGCGCTGCGCTGAACGGCCGCCACTACTAGTACTGTCCAAGCCCGGGGACGTCCTACTAGTCCTCGGAATTAGTTCCACGTCACTCGCGTCGAATGTCTCACGCGCCGTTGAAGTACTGGCGCCAGAAAAGGATGTTGATGCGGTGCCGTACAGAGAGAGCTCTATCCGCTTATCCCGGTGACCGGAGGTGTCTCTCGAACTATCCGTCGATGCGCCGTCACCAGTGGTGCGTCTCTTGCACGGCGGAGTCCAGGAGCCAGGCCGAGGAGCCGGCGCTCGACGCGCCGGCTGCTCGGAGAGTGCAATTTGTCCGCCGAACAGCACGGGGCCGGCCTCTCGCGACTCGTAGATCGACGGATGGGTCGCTGTCGAGCGCAAGTCCAGGAGGCACTCGTCATCGCCGCCCGCAGTGGTAGATGTAGCCGAAGTAGCCGGCGAGTTGGACGTGGTGGTCAGGTCGAGGCCCTCGTCCGGCACTGTCCGCCGCACCTCGCGGATGACGGAGCCGCGGCCTGCAACGACCGATGCAATCGTCGGAACGCGCTCCTCCGCCGAGTCGTCTTCGGTCGTGTCCGCATCCTGGCAGGGGCGGGGTCGGCCGCTCAGCAGCCGCCGACGCCGGGGCTCACTCGACTTGCGCTTGTTGCGCCGTTTGTGCAGCTCCACGCCGCTGTCGTCGCTCGACGCAGCGCTCATGGCTACACGCACGCGCCACGGCCGGCTAAGCAAGCACGAGCGCGGCCGGCAGTGTTGACGTCACGCGATTCGGCCGGTTCTGGTGCAGGTGCGTGTTCCGCGGCCGCGCGCACTCGACTGCCGCAACCAGCGGAGTTCCCGGCCAGAGAGGATGCGCCGAAAGTTGCCTAGCAACCATGACCACAGCTGCCGGAGTCACAGCTGGCCCCACTCTCTCCCTTCATCCCCGAGGGAGGAGCGGTGATGGCGCGCGGCAAGTGCGGCGCCGAGAGAGAAGGCGACGCTGCTGCTCACGCGGCTCATTACGCTTGCTTCGACTGCTGAACGAGAATGGCTCATTCAGAATGCGGAAGCAGGCCGGACGCTTCTCTGAGTTGAAAAAACTCGAAAAGACCGGAGCGCCGGTCGACGTAGACGGTCGCAGGTGTTAAATACGTGTAAAGCGCAAGTGCGTGTACAGGGCCAAGGAGGGGGAAGGTTTTGCTATGTCGGGGAAAATCACCCCCTCGGCACCCTTCCCCTGCTTAACGGGCAAAAATAATTTCCTATCATTCCCATCAGTTATTCAATCGCAGAAATAAAGTTTTTTGACAGAACAAAAAAAAAAGACATTTGCGCACTCGGCAGCAGTAGAGACATCATCGAAGCAACGCAGCGAATTTTAAAAGCGTACCTTGTACATTGCAGAAAACTGCGGTATCACAATCGACGCCTGTTGGAGCACGCGCCGAAGAACGGGAACAAGCTATTGGTCAAGCGGAGGCCCTAAGATAGTCCCCTGGTGAACAGGCACCTTTGCTTCCATAAAAAGACGTCTGCTGCACGGTTCTACGGCATTTGCGCACTCGGCAGCAGTAGAGACATCATCGAGGCAACGCAGCGAATTTTAAAAGCGTACCTTGTACATTGCAGGTTGGTTGCTTTTGATCTTCCTAGCATCTTATACGAATCTATCAGTTTATGGTTTCTTCTGCTGCTGAGTGCGTAGAGTGCTTTTCGATTGAGTGTCAACATGGGTGACTAGTGTCGCAATTGTATCGACAAGATAAGCGACAGTGATTTGTGGCTAATGTGCTCTGAATGCAGGTGTTATTACCAAGTTGGTACATGCTCTGGGGTAACAGAAAATGCCTACAAAAATAAATCGGCAGCGGCAAAAAAATCATGGGCATGCGCGCCTTGCAAATCGATGGTTTATGCTGAAAGTCGTTCAGAGGGTCAAATTCGTGGTTCAGAAACGAGCTTTGCTTCTGAGTTAGCTGAAATCCACCGCAAATTAAATGAATTGCTAACAATCAAATCAAACGTTGATGCTTTGCAAAAAAATTAAAACAACTGTTGCGAACATCAAAGAGTCGGTAAAAGATATGTCGAATAAATATGATGAAGGTATGGCGAAACTGAAGCACCAGTCGAATGACCTTTCGGACCTCAAAAAACGAGTCGGGAAACTCGAGACTGACGCTAAAGAAAGAGAAGTTGATAAGCTCAAACACGAAATCAACGAGTTAGATCAGTATAGCAGACGCCTTAACCTCGAAGTGCACGGACTGTCCCAACACACTAATGAAATTCTTCTAGAAAAGCTAAACAAATTAGCATGTAATCTTGAGCTTCCACCACTTTCTGAGCGTTAGGCTGTGCACCGTATGCCATCGAAAAAACACACAAAAAAAAGTGATAAACCGGATATTGTGATAGTCAGGTTCTCGTCTCGCCTTATGAAGGAAAGATTGCTTCTCTTAAGTCGCTCTTTTTTTAAGCCAAGTGAAACATTTTCTTTAATGAAAACCTCACAGCGTAAAACAAAGCACTTTTCTGGAAAATGAAATTGAGGGCAACTGAAAAAGAATACCAGTTCACATGGCACCAAAACGGAAAGCGTTTTTGTGCGCCGCACCCCGCGTGACCGAGTAATTAGAATCGTATCAGAGCAAGATCTCGTAAAAACTCGCTAAACTAAATGATGTCAGCCCACACCGGATCAGCAAATCACCCTGGCGCATGGAAAGACATACCTTTACTACGACGCACATTCCTTTCAGCAACTAAACTTTTTTCACGATAAAGACCAGTTATCGTTACTTCATCTGCATTCGCAAAGCTTACGAAATAAAAAAGAAGCCGCTGACATACTGCTCGACCTCTTAAAACATAAATTTGATTTCTTAGCTTTTACTGAGACTTGGTTCACGAGCTGTGAAGACGCTGTATCCTTTACAGGCTACAATTGCGTCACAGTCTGTAGAAAGAACAAGCGAGGTGGTATGTGGCAATTTATATCTACGATAGCCATCAATTTGTTGTCATCAAAGAATATACAGTTACAACTTGTGATTTCGAATCAGTGATGGTGAGGTCGGCTAATTTGTTCCTAGTAGTAATATATAGGCCTCCTTCCGGAACTGTGTCAGCCTTCTTATAATTTGTTCGGGAGTTATTAGAATTTTGTGAACGACAAAATGCACGAGCAATTGTAACGGGTGATTTCAACATTGACATGTTGGCTACCTCTGCTAACAAGCAAAACCTTCTTGACGCAATGCTCTGTTTTGGTTATGAGAACGAAATTCATGGGCCTACTCGGATGACAGAAGTATCTGAAACCCTTCTTGACTTGTGCTTCACCAACTTTAAAAATGAAATATGTGCTGGAGTTGTTATACCCGGTGTTAGTGACCACTTTCCGATTTTCGCATTCATAAAGTCACATAAAACAAAGCGTAAGAAAGTTCATGGCCCTATGGCGAAATTCATGGCCCTACTTCAGAAAAATTACCACTGAGAAAATTCAGACCTTTCAAAGATTAGTTGCAGCGGCAGATTTCAGTGAAGTATTACAAATCACAGAACCTGTACGAGCTTACGAAACATTTGCGTTGAAAATAACACAGCTCTATGATCAGGCATTTCCTATAGTACTGCTCAAAACGAACGAAAAAGCTAGGAAACCGTGGATAGATGCGTCACTTCTAAAGAAAATAAAAGAAAGGGATAACCTATTTCACACTTTCAATAAAACAAAGCAAATTGACTACTTATGGCAGTTTAAACAATTTAGAAATAAATTAGGATATAAAGCGGGCATGCATACAATATTATGAGCGTAAGTTTTCTGCTATTGCAAATGACCAGAAGGCAGTTTGAAATACCATGAACGGTCTTTTATTTTCATCAAGTGAAAAAACCATCACCGAGCTTATGATAGAAGGCAAACCTTGTTCCGGTACATCACTCGCTGATAAGTTCGACAGTCATTTTTTGAAATCAGGTGCTTGTGAAACCTCCGCTAACAACGAGTAGGCTGTGAATCAAGAACGTACATTACAAAATATCTTACAAAATCACTTTTTGGCCCCCCCTGATGAATCTGAAGTACATTATTTCATTAGGAATTTACCTAAGAACTCTGCGGGAAATGTTGACGGTATAAAAGCAGGGTTATTAAAAGCAGTCTCACAGTATATTAGTCTGCCTCTCTCACACATATGTAATTTGATTTTAAGCACCGGAATATTTCCTGATAAGCTAAAGATAGCCAGGGTCTCGATCATTCACAAAGGTGGTAATGAAAATTATTTAAATAATTATAGACCTATATCTGTCTTGCCCATATTTTCAAAACTTGTAGAACGAGTTTTATATTTTCGAATCTCAAATTTTTGTAACCAATAAAATATAATAACAAAACAGCAGTACGGTTTTTAGAAGAAAAAAAAAAGTACAGAGGGGGCTTTGCCGTCTATCAAGGACAAAATAATAAATAGTTTGAGCAGAGATCTTATACGCTTGAAATATTCCTTGATTTCAAAAAGGCTTTCGATTCGATCAAACATGAAATACTCCTGGTGAAATCAAACCAATACGGCAGAAGGGGTATTTCACTTAATATAATAGACAGTTACTTAATAAATCGATCTCAGTATTGTGACACGCATTATGCAGTATCTAAAATGGATAAAATTAAGTATACGGCCTCCCTCAAGGATCTATATTAGGCCCGCTCCTGTTCCTCTTATATATAAATGATATTGTTAATATACCACTAACCCCGGACATGGTTCTATACGCAGATGACAGGAACGTTTTTTTCTCTGGCAAAGACATCAACAGCTTAGAGGAGCAAGCAAACAAATGGCTTAAGCACTTATCAATATGGTTGATAGCAAATAAGATTGAGCTAAACACCAAAATAAAAAATATGTTATTTTTCGCCCAAAAAATAAAACTATACCCCGTGACATCTAAGTGAAGTTTCGAGGGGTTGAGCGGGTCACATCCCAAAAATTTCTCGGTATCACTTTTCATGAAACACTCGACTAGACATATCACATAAACAAAGATCGCACCGATCTTTCGCGCTCAATTGGTTTAATTGGGAAAATCAGATGTTTTTTGCCAATTTGAATAACGAAGCAACTGTACTATTCCTTAGTTTACTCGCGTATAACTTACTGTTTATTATTATGTGGTAACACTACAAACACAAACAAAGAATGTGTTTATAAACTACAGAAAATAATAGTTCGGATAATTGAAGGGGTTAGACCTAGAACACATTGCACTCCACTTTTCAACAAACACGACATATCAAAGTTTGAAAACATCCTAAATAAAAAACTAGCCATGATCATATGGGATAAATTGAAATCTGACTCGGTCGCTTTTTATGATGCATATTCGCAAAGACAGCATACATACAGCTTTAGACGCATAACATACTGCAGCGAAAGAATAAGGACTAATAACTACAGCTCGCAAAAGCTAGCGCTTATGTTCCTTAAACTATTGAATGCACATCCCGCAATTAGTGCAAGAGAGCCGCTCATTAATTGCATTTAAAAAAAGATACACACATATCTAGTAGGGCTCCAAGAATAATTTTTCCTCTTTCTGCGGTATCACACAGGTTGTATTTATAATTAAAGTGACACTCGTGACATTTTCATTATTGGGGTCTAATAAATTGGTTTGTTATTCGATAAATTTGGGTTTCTTCACATATTCCTTGCTTTGTTTGCTACAAACTCAGTCTTGCAGACAGGTCTGTACTTAATAAAATGTTCACCTAACGTTTTTTATAGGTTCTTATAAAA